AATTAAAATAATACTTAAAATTTTTTTTGATTATTAAATTTTATTTTGTTCTAATTTTTTTAGTGAATGGTTATATCAAAGAACGAATTATTAAAAGAAAAAATTGCTAAGCAATTAATAAAATAAAAAAGAGTTACAAGCTAGTGTAAAAAAGCTTTAATTGAAAAAAAAAAATGGAGAAGAATAAAAAAATTTCAAGTGCATCAGAAGAATTATCGTCATCAAAATTAATTTTTGATTATTTGTGACCTAAAGAAATGTGACTTTTTGTTAATTATTGCTATTATTTATATTATTTTATGAAAAAGTACGATTTAAAATTATATTTTATGTTTAGTTTTGTTAAAGATGTCGTTAATACTCGAAAAGTACTGCATAAATTTAATTACATACATGTAGTTTACAAAATTACTTATAATTATTTGAGCGGTGAATTAATTGGAGAACGGTCGGTCATTTATTGGGTTTCTTCGGTCAATAATTGGTGATTTTAGTATTTCAAGATTCAAATAACAAAATTAATTTTTATTATAAATAGTTATTAATTATTATTAATTAAGTATTTAACTTTAATAAAATCCATTACAAATTGTTTTTAGTAGGTTAATAGATTTTTTATAGCTTAGTACAGAAAAAGAAAACCTTAATCGGTCAATAATTGGTGCATTTACCCTATATTTTTTTAAATAAAAAAAAAAAATATTTTTTTTTAATAAAATAAAACTTTTTTTTCTTTAAAAAAAAAAAAATTAACTTTCTAAGTGAATTTTAAATTAATTAAATAATTTTCAAATTACTGAATAATAAAAAAACAAATATTGTAGGTCACAAAGGTCACATGGCATTCGTACAAAGAGTAAACAACGAAGGCGAGGGTGATCCTTTTTACGAAGTAATAGGCTTAATTACGTTAGAAGACGTTATCGAAGAATTAATCCAAGCCGAAATAATGGACGAGACTGATGTTTTTAGTGAGTTAACTTACAATAATTTTTTTGTTAAGTTATTTTATATATTATACAAATTTAAAATAAAAAAAATTTTTTTTCATTTACAGCTGATAATAGAAGTAAACGCAAGAGATTAAATAATCGTCCGAAATTACCGGACTTTACAGTATTTGCAGAAAAAAAAGAAAGTCAACGCATACATATTTCACCTCAATTAACATTAGCAATGTTTCAATATTTATCTACCAGTAAGTGTTTTAAATAATTATTTATTTTATTTAATTGAAATATTTAATATTTTATTGAAAAAAAAAAAATTTTTTTTTTCTTCTAGCTGTTGCTCCATTTAAACCAGACACAATATCAGAAACAATTCTACGCCGTTTATTAAAACAGGACATTATTCACCACATTAAAGTAAAGTCTCGTGAAAAAGCGCGAAATGATCCCGCGGCGTTAATTTATCAACAGGGAAAATCTGTTGATTATTTTGTATTAATATTAGAAGGAAGAGTGGAAGTAACTGTTGGTAAGGAGAACCTGACATTTGAGAGCGGTCCATTTACTTACTTTGGGTGCCAAGCACTCGGTACCAATATTGGAGTTGGTAAGAATTATTTTTTATTTTTTAAGATAAAAACTCAAATTTTTTTTTTTTTTTTAATTTTCTGTGAAAATTTTTTAGTATAAAATTTTTTAAGGGTCACTCAAGATTTTTAAAATTTAATAAAAAATTTTAAATAAAAAAAAAAAATTTTTTTTATTAAAAATAATTCCAACAATTGAAACTTTTTTTTTTTTCAGTCGAATCCCCGACAACAAATGTAAATCCACAGGCTTTAGGAAGTATACAGTCTATTAATTTAGATGCGATACTTCGGCATACATTTGTACCTGATTATTCAGTACGTGCTGTTACTGAAGTATTTTATCTAAAAGTAAAGAGGTCTTTATACTTGGCTGCTAAGAGAGCCACGTTATTAGAAAGAAGTCAAAAGGACCCGTCGCCAAGTAACGATCAATTTGACGACGAAGTTGAGAAGGTAAGCTAAATCAAATTGCACGCCTGATAGCACATTTTTGAATTTTTAAAATTTTGTTTTTAAATCTAATATCAATTAAAAAATTAATAATTTTTTTCAGCTGCTGCATTCATTAGACGAAGACGACCGTAGTATGCAGTCATCTCCAATTTTAAGTCGCAAGGACGACGACATGAAATCACCGGAACAGAACTCTCCAATTCGCAGCGCTACTGCTCCTACATCTCCAACTCCAGTCAGCGCCTCTCCTGTTACGAACTCAAAGTTCTTACCACAAAGTAAAACCAGCGAACCTAACGGGCAGCTTCGGAACTCACCAAACAAAATTGAGGAACCTGTGGAGCCCTCTACGAATAATTCAGAGAGTCACAGTAAATTAAATTTAGACGCTGAAATTGCTTCACGTTTATTAAGTAAAAAAACCAACGAGGATAATAATGACGAACTTACTAATTTGTTATCTACACAAGATCGTTCTTAACACTTACAAAATGGCCATCCGAATATTACTGTCGTGGTGGCTCCTCCAATCAACGAATCCAATAGTGAAAGATGAAAAAAAAATTTATTATTTTTTTTTATTAACAAAAATATATTTATATATATATATATATATTTGCGCATGCGCAGTACTTGTTCCAAGTCTATACGCATGCAAACGACCATGGAACAGTCTTTGCGCATGCGCAAAACTGGTTCCAACTCTCTGCGCATGTACATAACCATGGAACTGTTTTTGCGCATGCGTAGAACCTGTTCCAAGTCTCTGCGCATGCATATAATCATGGAACTGTTTTTGCGCATGCGCATAACCTGTTCCAAGTCTATGCGCATGCGCAGAACTTGTTCTTGGTTCAAACACGCGCAGAAGAGTTGACAGTCGTAATATATATATCTAGGTACTTAGTAGTGTGTAAAAATATTGAGCATGCTTACTTAAAATTAATTAATTTTTTTAAGTCATTTATTTTCCGCTCAGGGAATAAAATGCCAAAATGTTTTTTTTTTTTTCATCGACACTTCCAGTTGATAATAATTGTTATCGTTATTATTAATTACAGTAATTAACAATAGAACTGACTCATCATGTATCCATAGTTTTTTGTAATTTTTTTGTTAGATTATTAACTATTTTTTTTTTTTGAACTTTATCGAGAATCATAGATTATATATATTGTCTATTTATTTGATTTAATAGGTAGACTGTTTTTTCGTAAAATCAATCGAGATCATCAAAATATAATAATTGTCTTTTTTTATACAGTTATAAGTAAATGTTAAATTAAACAAATTTTAAATATATATTTCAAATATGTCTAAGAGGTTTTTTTAAAAATAGATTATTATATACTAATATATTGTAAGTAATAGAGATGTTTCATGTTTTTTATATAGATCATTAAAATTTTTTTAGGTTTATTAAGATAGGTTAATATTAAAAAACTAAAAAATAAATCGCCTTTTTATCTATTTAAATAGAATCATTTTATAAAAAAAAAAAAATTATAATTAATTAAACAATAAAATTTGAGCCATTCTGCTCCGAAGTATTTAATTCAACGTTATTAAATTTAAAACTGTGTAATAAGTCTATTAAAAAGTACACTTAAACTGTAAAACGACCATGGAACCATTTTTGCGCATGCGCACAAATTGTTCCAAGTTTTTGCGCATGCGCACAAATTGTTCCAAGTTTTTGCGCATGCGCACGGCTATGGAACAAGTTCTGCGCATGCGTAAAAATTGTTCCAAGCATCTGCGCATGCGCACGAGCCTGGAACCATTTTTGCGCATGCGCAGAAGTTGTTCCTGTTCCGAACATGCGCAGTAGGGTTAAATATTGCAAATCTTTTAAAAAAAATCAAATAGTGTATTTTTTTTTGGATTTATTATATAAGAATAAAAATATTTATTAAAATATAAAAGTTTTATTGAAAGTACTGTTCAATTTTTGGAATAATTAAACAATTAATTAACTAATGTTCATCATATAAATTACTGCCATTGAAATGTTTGTTAAAACTATTTGATCATGTAAATTAATAGATTTTTATTTTATTTATTTATGTTATTATCAAGATTTACGATAATTAATTATTATTACCAAGAAAAGCACCGAGAATCAATAAAAATATGAGTAATTAATTGAAGCTAATGACTAATGATCAAAAGAGAAATAATGATTAACAGAATCTAAGTCAAATTTGCATTTTTGTCGTCTGTTAGGTTAAATAATTGTTAATAATAGTGAGTAATTATTTATAAATATAAAATATAACAGAGATTATAAAATTATTATTATTATTATCATTAATGAATAATTTGATTGGATGTTATGTACTTATTATTAATTATATAAACAGGAGTAATAAAAAATTATAAATCATTTGATGCTCTTGAATTATTTTTAAGTTTTACTTGAAAATTTTTATTGATTTTAATTAGATAAATAGATTTTAATTAAAAATTTAATTTATATTACAAAAAAAGCCGTTTATTTTAAATGACAAAAATGAATATAGTTTTTAAATTCTCTGTAAGATGGCGTTGCGCACCGGATGTAGTACTACGTCACTAGCCCGCCAAAATTCAAATTCAAAAAAATAACTTAATTTAAAAAATTACCTTAACAAATAAATTATTTAAGTATTTTTCTTTTATTTTGTTGTTAATAATTTCAGCAAGAAGAAAAAATATTCAAGCGAAGTAAACCATGCTGAATGGAACACCCTGATTGGTAACGTGATATCAACTAAAAACGCGCAATTGCAAATTGCAACTAGAACAATTGACATTTACCTGCGGGTAAAAAATCGGGTTCTTGATAAATTAGGAGAAATAAAGGTGAAGAAAAACGACGCTATTGTCGATTGGGACGACGAAAATTCTAAAAATAATGGCAACGATGATGATGACGTAATGCCGGATTTATTTAGAGGTTTGTTGTCGAACGGCAATGATAAAACAAATGACTGCGCTACTTCTAGGAAAAACTTCAAGACTCGTAACAACCCCAAAATTAATAATAATAATAATAATAATAACAATAATAATAATAATCATAATCATAATCGCAAGAAGTACAATAATGACGATGATGATGATGATGATGATGATGATGATGATGATGATGATGATGATGATGATGATGATGATGATGATGATGATGATGATGATGACGATGATATTTCCAGAGTTTTATATGCGGAAAGTGATGAATACGAATTTTGAACTGTGGTAAAAAATTTTTTTTTATTAATTTGTTAATTTTATTCACAATTTTAAAGAGATCCACGCGAAGTAAAATTTTTAAAACTTCCTGAAAATTTGTAAATTCAACTTACGGAGCCTAATAATAAAAAAAAATTAAAAAACAGGAGTTTCCGCGATATTTAATCAAATAATTAGGTTTGAAAATTGTAATTTTTACATGTAGGTAAATGGAGATTCCACCAGCCGTGTATTTGGTTAAGAATTTAATGCAATTAACGATTTAAAAAAAATTTTATTTTCATTGAATTTGATTGAAAAAATAATAAGCTAAAGATGAAAACAATAAAAAAAATAGCTTTCCGAACGTATTACGGAGATATTTTATATTTTTTATGAAAAATCACTCGGACACTTGCGTTCTTTAAAGTCTTGTATTTGACTTGGCAACACCGCTTGCGCAGTTACCCATGCGCATAAGTTACCGCGGTTTTTTAAATGCTAGAACATCTTAGTCATTTTAGTTAGACAGTAAACATAAATAAATTCTAAGGTTAGGGACACTCTTGCGGTGTTGTCAAGTGTATACCGGTAATTCAGAGCGCTAGATTTTTTATTAGTCAATTAAATGTTAATAATTATTTAATGCGTAAATTTATCGGAAATTTCCTCAAAAATGTTATTAATTAATTTAAAAATTAATTTTAAGATAACAAAAGTATTTCTACGGATTTTTTCATAGCCATTATTTACACTAGGTTACTTGGATCTCCTTAAATAGTTAAAAATTAATTTCTTGCCACAGTCCCTTTTTTTGACAATAAACTAGAATTTGAATTTACGCGCGCAAGCGCGCGCCTTGACTATAGAGTTTGCATATATTTTCATGCTTATGATATATTCAACCAATCACGTTACGAATAGTTTGATGCCACATACATTTCATCTCAATTTTATATTAGGACTAGTATACGTTGCGCGCGCAAGCGCGCGTGTGAATGTTGGTATGGAATTATCTATATTTTCATGCTTATGATATATTTGACCAATCACATTACGAATAAAATGTCTTCATCAATGTATATATTTTCATATTTTTCATCTAAATTATAAGAGTGGACTAGTATACGTTGCGCGCGCAAGCGCGCGTGTGAATGTTGGTGTGGAATTATCTATATTTTCATACTTATGATATATTTGACCAATCACGTTACGAATAGTTTGCTTACATGATATATTTTCATATTTTTCATCTAAATTATAAGAGTGGATTATTCCTCTGAGTGTATTGTACCTACGTACTATATATATAGTATAATACCCCCGAAAGTAGCAAATAAATAGCAGACTGAATACTCAGCGAATTAACCCTCGATGGGATGAATGCAGCGCGCAATAACCAGGGGTTGATTGTGTATCTGTGACTACTTGACATCCCATACACGTATATTCATCCTTGAGTACGTAGTTGTATACAAAGGTATAACGGTTAACTTTAACGTTCTATTCGTAGAGCTTTAGAGTCAGTTCGCGTTAAACTCTCGCGCGAGACGCTTCTTAAGCTTTTGTGTCTATTTTACAATTATCATTTATCAATTATTAATTAAAAAACTTTTTTTATTTGTGCTTACTTGTGAATTTTTTCGAGATCTACTGGCTGAAATTTTCCGAAAGAATTTTAGGTAAGTTACAATTTTTTTTATAAATTTTCAAAAACTAATTAAACAATTTGCAAGTTATAATTAACCGGAGGTAATGATAATTAAATTAATTTGCGGTTTATTCTCTCCGGATACGGTTTGTCACAAGTTATAATAACAATCATAATAATACTAATAATAAGTATTATTATTTATTTTTTTTCAAGCGTGTTTTAATTATTTTTTATTTAATTAGACTTTTAATAAGATTTATGAGTTTAAAGAGTAATAAATAATGTTTTATTTATTACCAAGAAAATTTATGAAGAAATTTTATTAATTTTCAGAGAAAATCTTTTTTGAGAACTTTTTAAATTAATTTTTTAAGTCAAATTTTTTTGATAATAAATCAAAAAAATTTATATTTTATAAAAATCTTACTTTAAATTATTTCTAAATATTGATAAAAAAAAATTAACTAGATTTTTTTAAGAAAAAAAAATTATTTTGAACTTTTGAATGTTTTAAAATTATTTAACTTAATTAAATTGAGAAAAATTTTTTATTTAAAGAAAATTTTAGTTTGATTTAAAAAAAAATAATTTAATTTTTATTATAAAATTAAAGAAAT